ATCGTGAATGATCAAACGTATCGATACGTGTATATCGTGAACGATCAAACGTATCGATACGTGTATCATAAACGATCAAATGTATCGCTGCGTATATCATGAATGATCAAACATCGTTATCGTGATATCGCTCTCCCATCTCATAGTTATTCGCGTATCGATGTTGTTGTTGTTGTTGTTGTTTCCCCCTGGTAGCTGGCATAGGTTAATCATCAAAATATTGATGTCCCCCCCCCCCACCTAGTTTCTACATTTTTACGTCATAGTTATTTGCGTATTAATTAACGTTGTTGTTGTTGTTTCGCCCCTGTAGCTGGCATGGGCGTATGCTGCTAAGCTCTCAGGATGATAATGTGGTCGCTGCCTTCAAACTGGCAGCCAAGGACAAGCTAAATTTCAACAGACACCGACTCTACCTATGCAACTTCTCATGTGAGTACTTCTCATCTCGGTGTGGTTGTGTGTGTGCGCGCGTGCATGCGTGTGTGTGTTCGTGTTAAACGTCACGGTCTCTTTACTCTTCACAGTTAAATGAACATCCACGCAAACCCCCTCTGGCGACCAATAATGCGAATTCATTAACGAACTCAATAACAAACTGATTAATGTTCGCTCACCTGTCACCGTTTCCCCGTCTCCTGTTGCCAGACAACGACGCCAGCTTCCACTCACTACTGTGCACCAGCAGCCGAGCATCGTCCTACCATCCTACATCGACACACGAGTGAACGGCGTCTACCAGGGGGCGCTGGAGCAGCGGCTGCTGCGTCCGCTTGTGGGAGCCGACCACGTGGAGATAGGACAGAACTAGCTGCCCCGCTCGGTCGCGCCCCCCTCGCAGCAAGGTCGAGCGAGCGCGGGCGGAGTCTGAGGGCAGCATGCCGGCGTGGCTGCGTACGGATATGGAGCGTCGCATGCAGAAAGGTGAGTGATGCGTGCGACGTAGTGTACCAGCAACACGCGTGCCGTAGCACAATGACTATTGACAGTGGCAATGACAGTACAGTACATGTAGCTATATATACAACTCGGCTGACCGCCCGCCCACCTCCCCATCTGTCTGTCTGTCCTACCAGCCATCCATCTGCTTGTCTTTCTGTTGTTCCATCGATCGTTCGTCGGTCCGTGTGTCCGTTAATCCGTCCATAAATTCCTTCCACCCATCCATCCGTCTGTTTGTCCATTCATCCACCCGTCCATCCATGCCTGCATCCATCCACCCACTCTCACCCACCCGCCTATCAATCCATTCCTCTATTCATCCATACACCCATACACCCATACCTGCATCTGTACTACATGTTGTTAAACCTTGATGCTTGTCATTTTGCAGCAAAGGAAGCTGAGAAGAATGGAGTAGGAAGCAGCAGTGAGTCTGCCTGTATCCTCCAGCGGTACCGACACATCCAAAAGTAAGGGCCAATGCAGCAGTACAGTATTAGTGCAATACAAAACAACAACACCAACAACAACAGCAACAATGACAACAGTGGTGGTATAAGTAACAGTGACACCACCACCAACAGCAGCAACAACAACAACAACAACAGGTATGCAAACAACAACTATGACAATAACAGCTACATAAACACAACATCAACAACAACGAAAACATCAACCACACAACAACCTACAACAAACGAGGGCAACAATTGACGAGCCTCGCTCCTCCGTCTCCCGCAGGTTCCAACGTTGTTAACATTCACCATCCGCGCTCTGCCAAGGACTACGCCCTGGTCGAATGAAAGGCCTTCCCATAGAGTTATATATTAGACCCCTTATAATTAAAATTATATATTATTTATGT